CCCCCCCAGCCACTGCCCACCCAGTGTGGGTGGCTGAGTGGGTGGAAAGTAGCTGGGAACCTCCTGCCCTAGCACGTGGCGCTCCAGCTCCCAGGTGACTTCCACCCACTCGACCGCCTGCGCTGGGCAGCCGAGTGGGTGTAAGGAAGCTGGGAGCTTCAGCCCTAGCACACAGGGCTCCAGCTCCTGGAAGGCAGCCAGGAGCTTCAGCTGGGTAGCTCCTACCCCAGAGCTGGAGATGGAGCCCCGCACGCTGGGGCAGGAGCTGCTCTGCTGAAGCTCCAGGCTGCTTCCCATCTACACAGCCACCCACACCAGGTGGGTGGAGTGGCTGGGAGGCAGCCAGAAGCTGGAGCCAGAGCCCTACGCGCTGGGGCGGAAGCTGCCCACTCTGCCTGGAGTGGCGCAGCAGGAGCTGCTGCGGGAGGCGAGGAGAGCTAAGCAGCACCTGTGTGGCTGAAGCTGCACCAGAAGTAGCCTTGCTGGAAGTTGTGTGCCCTGGCCCAGACCAGGACTGGCAGATATGGGCTGGAGCACAGTGTGGGCTTCCCTGTGTGGGGCTCAGCCCCATGCGGAGCGCCATGGGCTGGATCCAACCAACTGGTGGGCACCCCCTGCAAGCCAGATCCAATCAGCTGGCAAGCTGCAATTTTGTTCACTCCTTATCTACAAATGATCTCAGGAGAGGATCCCAAATGCCCAAGAGAGAGACAATAAGGACTCAGTACAGCCTGCCACTTGGCATGGAGTCTTTTGCCTTCACCCCACACTGATAAAATGAGAACTAGCATCTGCCAGACTATGATTGAGCAGCCAGACTGCATTATGTAGATTTAATAAAAGTCTCTAAGATTCATTATGATAACGCAGGGCTCGGCCTAACTATGATGGGCAAGAGCTCTCAGAGAATACACTAGCCTACAGTAGCAGTCATCTCCCTAGAGGCATGCACCTCAGCAGGCCTGCAAATATGACCCCAGGCATGTGTATCAAAACACTTATGAGAGATCACCATTAAGAGTGACCTTCCCTGCATCATTAGTGTCAGACCCTCCAGTTAGATCATCTCTGGCTTTGCATTAGAAAAACCTTCAAACAAGTGTGCACCACAAGCCGTCACCCTTGCTTCTGGAGGCACATGTTTGTCCTACTTATCTCAAAAGGATTGTTAAAAGAGAAGTTAGAGGGCATTTGAGACGCTGGAGGGGCAGCCTCCAGGCCACAGAGTATTATACTGAGAATCTCTCTAAAAGATTCAGCACTTTCCAAGGGGGCTATAAAATGCTCTTTAAGGGTTCCCTTACCAAGTCCCAACAAGTCCACTACAGGTTCAGTTGATTTCGGGGGACTTTTCCTGGCTTGTTGCGTTTCTTCTTTCTTTTGAGGCTTAAATCAAAACAAGACAAGACAGTCAGACATCAAAAGCCTTTCACTGATTCAAAACTTGCTTTTACTCGGTTAAAGTAATGGAGACCAAATTCAGAAAAGCCTTGTTTAACACTGTATTGATTCAATTCAAACTGAGCGGGCTCTCAAACCCTGGTCAGCCAACCTCTATAAGGACCGAAGCCACAAGCCCAAAACCGGATACCCAAAGAGGAATGTCAGGGGCGTGACTTTAACCACTGCCAACTCAACAGACTTTCCTAGGATTGCTGGATCAGCCCCATATAGCTTATATAGAACTAGCCATGTAAAGGGAACGTCACACATTTGCGCCTTCCGCTATGAAGCATGGCAGAGGCTGAATTTCAAGGTATTCATGCTCTCACATGAGGCACCTTTAAGTGACCCTCAGCAAGGTAGTAGATCAGTCCCATTATAGAAGAAGGGATCAGACTGCAAAGGCTTCCAGGTCTCAGAGCACAACCTTGCTCTTCCTCTCTTGCAGCTGATCCAGTCAAGCTTCACATCACAAGAAACTCCACTTACAGCCCTGCATGTTTTACAAGCATCATCCAGCTTCATTTGAAAAGCCAGCCCTCAGCTGTAGTTCTGTAACTAGGTATTCGGGCACTTAATCAGCTGCAGATGATTTGACAGATGTATCAGGTCAGTTAGAAGTAAAAATAGATGCAAGTTCATTTTTTCCGCAGAGACAGCTCTCCCTCAGCTGGACTGGTCCACAATCCCCTTTGTGGGATTAAAACCCAGTTTAGGTTTTATCATCAACATAAGCTGTGGCTGGTGTATCCTGAACACAGTCCAGGATTCAAGCAGTTGCTTAGATTGGCGTGGCGTGGCGGGGCAGAAAGAAAAGGTCTTTATTCCTGAAGAAATAGTGCAGACATGGCTATACCCAATTAGTCTGTTCATGCCTTCTCTTTAATTGAAGGGAAATGGAAACTATCACTCTTGAAGATAAGAGATGTACTGTGCTGGGCAAGCCATTTGGAAATTAAGTCTAACAAAAAACGACGTTTCTTGTTGCCCACTTATAATTTACCTTCACAGGGCTTCAACTGTAGGGATAAGCCCTGCTGCTAGATTGGAAAGGGAAGAGGAGCCAGTTAACAATCCAGGTTCAGGAGACAGGGATGGTAGAAGACATTCAGAATTTCCAAAATTTGGGGGGAAAAAAAAAAAGTTTCTCCTTTCCTTAACCACTAGATCCTGACCACTGTTGTAGATGAGAAACAGGACCACAAATCATCAAGCCAGTGATTTAGTTGAGGCATCAATTTCTCCTTGATCAGAGCCCAGGAAAGTCTCGATCTGTATTGTATTACCCCTACCCTGCTTAAAGAAACCCGCCTTTCCAAATCAGTCCTTCACAACAGACTCACGACAATGTTTGTTTTTACCATTTTCACTTTCTCAAAGATTATGGGCTCCAGTTTCTTCTCTGATGCTGGCTCGCCACTCCTCTTCCATTTGTCATCCTTTTCTTTCTGTATCAAGGCAGACAGAAGGGGAAGTTGCAGTTGACAGCATTGGGAAAAAAGTTGAAATAAAAAAAATAGAAGTTCTAGTTTTCCACGCAGTTTTCACGCCACTTTTTCATGCTGACAGATAAGAACATCTCGTTTGCCTTGTAAACATCATTTCCCCATTTGCAAACAAACAGGTTTCCCTAGTGCCTTGCATGAGAGATTACAATCAGTTTTCAGCACGTTCACACAATAGTTTTACACCCATAATAAAAACAGGCAACAAATAAATGACCTAGATACACTCTCCCTTTGGAAAAGGGTGTATGATCCCACTACAACACTTCTAAGAAATCCATATTTTCAGCAGTGTCACTATTAAGTAAAACGTTAAAACTGTTAAGCAAATAAATACTAGTCCTGTATGGCTGCCAACTGATAGAGTTATCAGCTCAGAATCGAACAAGAAAAGATGCATCTTCAAAGCTTCTTTTATGCAAGCGAAGGTATTTAGACACTAACCCTGAAAATGCCGATATCGATACTTCGGTCCATGTATTTCTTCTTTTCATATTTATCCCGAATGAAGCCCTCCACAGCTCTGCAAGAGGCTTGTTAAGGAGGAATCGTTCAAGAGTGGAAGCTGTACGAGTACGCAAAGTCAAACAGCCCTAGAAAAGCACCTTGCAACCACAAAACAATGCTATTTCAAGAAAGCTATTTCAGCAGTAGCTCTTATTCATTCCTTTAAGGCAACATCAACATTAAGACAGGCTCCTGTAGTAAGTGGCTGGGATTCCTAGAGCTGGTTTAAGATTAAAACAAGTGAACCATTTTTTTTGCTTTATTTTATAGGCAGCCGCAGCCCGGTAAGCTAGTCTGATGAACGTCACACACAATACAAAGAGGAGGTAGGTCAGGCTAGAAAGCAAGGTCATACCATTCGTTAAGCAGGATGATACAGTAACTATTATCGAATTATATTACCTAAGTATTTGTCTTACTATCATTTAGTAGCATACTTCTGCCAAGGCAACGTTTAACGTCATTACACAAGACAGCAGTCATTTCAACGCAAGGCACCCAAGCTTCCTTTTACATTACTAGCTTGTCATTGGACAGCCATCCTTTTTCTCATTAGCTTAATCATCACTAGACTCCTGCTGTACCCTTCTGTAATTAAAAAAGTATTTAGCCTTATTTTTAAGACGGCACACATCACACTTTCAGCTCCCACTAGCTTCTGTAGGGTCCGTTTGACAGTCGGCCTTTCAATTTACTACAGAACCGACAATGTGTTTCATGCCAGGACTTACAGTTGTAGCCATTTGGCTTTACCTAGTTCTCACACTCCATGGCTTAGGAGTGATCCTTTTGAGAGCTCTCTCATGGAGAGCTGTAACGTAACAAATCTGAAGCACTGAACAGAGGGCGCCCGGCTGGGAAGCCTCTCTCATGGCTGACACACACGCACACGAAGATTAGGGCAGCAGCCCTCTTTGCTGCTAAGCCTTCTACACAAGATTAAAAGTCTCTATTATCCTCCAGTAGCAAGGTACAAAAAAAAGGATGCTGATCTGTCTGAGGTCGCCTGAAGTTCTCTGGCAGGTAGGCTTCATACAGACGGTTTGCCTTTCCGTTCCCCATCTCCTGCATGCACTGCAATTCAAAAGAGAGAGTTCAAGCCATTTGTTTTAAGACACAAGAGTTTGAGCCACATTCATTTCTTAGGTTAGAGGCAGCACACACAGGTTTCAAAAACTTGCCTGCACTCTTGTGTCTAGCTTAATATTCCCCTGGGATGCCAGCAATTGCTTAAGTTGAGGGAGGAGAAAGAGGAAACTGAGGCATGGGTTTATGATCAGCTAGAGGACCCCCATGTGTTTGAAGCTTTTTTTTTGGCACAAGAGGAGCATAGGGGGGCATTTCTATGCTTACCAAAATTTCAGACTAGTATTTAGAGGGAAAGTGCTACTGAATCATCCCATACATCTGACCACAGTGATTTTATTCTTACGCTATTCTTTTTACTCAAGAGATTCAACATTTTTCTTGGCAGCCTATCTAACTCAAACCCCAGTGAATTATTGCCCTTAGTTAGGGTCTGCCCTGCAGTTTTCCTTCTCTCACTTCCATCCCACTTGCTCTATAGTTCTGTTTCAGGGCACGAGTACCCACCCCTCCCTCGGCAGATGTCTGCATACATGGGTTTCTCCGCTTCAGGTTCTCATTTTCCACGGTTTGTACAGAGATCTTCATCTCTGCAGCTCAACAGCCTTGCCAAGTTTCAAAATAATCCTCAAGAAACTAATTAGGGAAGAAGCTGAAACGTCTGAGAACGATCTGATGTCAGAGCATGTATATAGAAGCATGTACCAGAGGGAGAAATCTGGCCAAATGCAAGTAAGTGCACCTGTTATTCCTCTGTAGACCCAGGATATTACAGGCCAGTGGGTTTAACATCTGTTCCTGGTGTACTGGTAGAAACAATAATTAAAGGAATAAAATAAAAATAAAAAGAATAAAGTTGTTTAGTACTTGGGTGAACAAGATTTGCTGGGGAGAGAAGTCAGCATGGCTTTTTTAAGGAAGGTCATGCCTCACCAACCTATTCAATTTTCCAAATGCAAAGAAGTAACCAATGGGGTCCACAGGGTCTGCATTGGGCCTAATGCAATTTAGCTTACTCATAAGTGACCTGGGAACAGGGGAGGAAAGAGAGAGAGAGCCAAGTGTGCCAAAGTTATGTTAAGGGGGGGACGGTGGTAAGGACCATGGCAGACTGAGAACCTACAAAAGGATCTTGTGGAAAAAAAAGAGCAAATGGCCAAAGTGGCAGATGAAATTCCAATGTTGCTAAGTAAAAGCAGTGCACATGGGAAAAAGCTACCCAAAATATCCGTACGCAATGATGGGTTCTACATAAACTTGTACCACACAGGAAGCATCTTGGAGTCATTGAGGATGGTTCATTAAAAATATCAGCTCAGTGGCAAATATATGTTAGGAATTAAGAAGGAAATTGGAAATAAAACAAGTCCCTTTATAAAACTATGGTGTGTCCACACCTCAAACACTGTGTGCAGTTCTGGTCCCCAGACCTCAAAAAAAGGTGAAAGAAGAACTAGAAAGTCTACAAAAGAGAAAAAAAACTAGTCAAGGATGATCAGGAGCATGGAGGGTCTTCCATCCAAGGATAGACTAAATAGGCTAGGACTTTTCAAGCCTAGAAGACAGACACTTGAACAGGAACACGATAGAGGATATGAAAATATTAAAGTGATGCAGAGAAAGTAAATAGGGATTTTAATGCCTCCTACTTCTAGTATTTTGAGACTGCAAAATGAAACTGTTAGGTAGTTAGTTTAAAACTAACAAGAGGAAGGTTATTTTCAAACAGTGTTAATTAACTGTGGGGGGGAAGGGAGGGGGAATTCATTGCCACAAGATGTTGCAGGGGCTGTCTGACTTGGTTCAAAAAAAGGGAAGAAGTGAGCAGATGCTTGGACGAGACAGTCTGAACATAGTCGCTAGAGGGGAAGGCTCTGAATTGGAGTTTCCTAAAAAAAACCCCACAACTCTAAATGCTGGGAGCTTCCACTATCCTGTTCCAGGTTCTGGACACGGCCTGTTCAGCCTTCCTCTTGGCATCTACCTTCTGCTGCTCCATGGGATGGGATACTAGGCTAGAGGCACCTGTAGTCTGATCCAATAAATGACAGTTCCTTTGGCTTACTGACCCCCGTTTCGCCAGCACAGCAGTTGTGGTTGCATCCCACCCCAGCTCCATTTTTACCTGTATCTGTTCTTGTGTCCATTGGTCGAGATTCACAGACTTGACCCTGGAAATGTGAACTCCTAGGTTGCGATGGATCCCAGCGCAGCGGATACAAATGAACACTCCGATATTCCAGGATGCCCATCGTGGCCCTATAAAAGAGACAAAGATGGTACCATAGACTCTGACAACGCTCAGCCTGCAACTACCCTGAGCCAACTCTTATGGGAGAAACTTGGGATTGACCATTTTGTATTTCCAACTCAAATGGAGGTTGGGATTACAAACACCGGCAGGTTTTGTAAAAAAAGAGATCGAACTCTTAAGAGTAGGCAACAAGGGTTGTGTTCATTCCCACCTCCAGTTTGGGCTATTGGCATATAAAGGCAGAAGCCAAACACACGTGAAAGGGTAGCAACCCCATGGCACTGAAATGGGTGCCTTTTACCTTCCCCTCTCCCCACCCCCTGAATGATACAGGGGCAATCAGTGTGCAGTCAGCACATCTTACCCGGCCAGACCTGTATTGCAATCAAGTTTCAAAGCCTTGATTTAGGGCAGAGGGAGATAGAGTCACTGCTATGGGCAGCGTGCTCTGAAGAACTGGATTTCCATATCAAACTAGGCCAAACGCTGCTGCTTGAGGATGTGCAGCATCTAGTGTTTGATCCACCCGACCCCAAGACAAAGCACGATGTCTGCACCTCACTCTTGAGAAGAGCCATGAAGTTGGCTATACGCAAGATGACCGTGCTGCAAAAGATTACAGAGAAAGGAGGCAGGCAGCAAGGACATTCACAACCCCTCCATATCCCAATAGCCCGATCGATTCATACAGCAAACGGGAACCCTGGCTGGGATCCCGACGGAGGGAAGAGACGTTGGTTTTAGACACTTTTGGATTAGGCACCATTAGCATGCAGCTTTTGACAGACAGGAGAGCTCCAAGGTGCTGAAGGAGGGAGGCCATGCTGGGACACAAATGGGGGAGAGATTTACATGGCTAACGTCACTCATCGTACACACAGCTCTTGCCGAAGGAAACGGATGCATTGCCAAGTGAGACCACTCCGGAGACTGCTCCTCGGAGCCACCAGGTGGCGCTCGCACGTTGTTCTCAAACGGACTCGGAATTAGCACCCCAAAATTAGCACAACTCGACTAACCGCGTTCGATCTAGGCCAGGTTGGAACAACTTTGGCAATGTTCTTACCTTGCTGAGCATCAGGCTTGTTTCTGGAGAGCTGGCTCTTTTCTCAAGAGGTCCAAGCTCTGAACATTTAGCCTGGCTGGGCCTTTATGTAGCTGGTTTGCAAACTGCAATGGCATGCAAACAAGCATAAGTAGCACAATACCAAGCCTAAGTGGTCCTCTTTTTGGCCTCTGAACTGTGCTACAGTAGGTTGAAGGATTAAGTAAATACAAGCACACTGAATTATGCCTGCTGAGAGAGAGAGAGGCTGTAGGGAGATAATAAATAGAGAGAGAAGCTGTGCCCTTGCGGTAAGCATCCATTTTGCAGGCAGGTGTGCAAGGTTGGAGGGGTTTGTCATTTAAAACCTGCCCCCCACGTCGGCATGCTGATGTTCCTTAGTCTTTCCTTGGAGGATGGCACTGTCTGCTTGTTTTTCCTCTGTATTTCAAGCAAGGCCATTTGAAAGACAGTCCCAGATGTACACAAGGCGCGTGCATCTACTCAGCAGCAGAAAGTTGTCGCAGGAGAGCTTGCTCGCCACCCGGCATCAGAATGACGGGCACGTTACTCCAGGACGGTTGCTTGCTTAGGAAGCTTGCAAAAGTATTATTCCCCGAGATGCAGAGCTGTTGTGCAAGACAGGGTGGAAGATGCTTTTCTAGGACAGCACTTGACTATATGAATGCTCAGAGGACAGACTTTTGTATTAAAATGCCTCCTTGCTAATCTTCAAATAGCCACAGCCAAATCCCGAACTCGGAGAACCAGGTAGCCTTTAGTTCTTTGAAGCAGTTTCTGTTGGAGTTAAAGGCAGATAAGACAGCGAGGACGCTTTCTTCGACCCTCCACGAGCAAACACCCCTTCCATCAAGTGCCATTTTAAGTTATGCTGTCAGCCAGAATATGCTACCCTGGCATTCGGCTTCAAGCCCGAGGATGCTATACCAGCCTCAGTCTTTTCATTGTAACTTCAACGGGTGGGTTTGTGCGAACGTATCTGGAGCAGCAAGACATGGGGCACCACAATGCCATACCCTTCTTCCCCCAGCTGTCAACCCCTATTAGAAAGGCAGCAATACATTGCAGTACTTCCCACAACAGGCCAATGCTTTCCAAACACACAGTTCCTGCCCTGAAGAGGAGTTTTAGTCGAGCAAACAGTATGCCATTAGGCAAGATATCAATAGGACATCTGTTCAGGGATGGGGTAACCAGCTTCCTTGTCCCTAGTTCAGAAGCCAGGACCTGAAAGCTCAGCAATGGATCCAGAAGCTGACCAGAGAAGGAGGGACTCTGCCCACCATGCAAAGGATGGTCCTTCTCCCCTTTAAGGGCAATTGGGGTTCACAGCTCACAGCATTCCCCTGTTTTCTGGACTTCCTGTAGCTTTGCATATGCACTGCTAACAGCAAAGACATCACAAGTAGTTGGGTTGCATCTGTCAGAGGGCACTGGCTTTTTTTTCTTCACCTGTGCAATGCCTTTGCCGGCATTATGGGGTCTAGTCCAGCTTCAAGGACATCGAGATGGACGTTGAGTCAGCATCGCCACTGCTCTCAGCTTCCTTGCTACCAGAAATAGCCTCCGAGATGGACCGTCTTGGTCAATGCAGCGGAGCATCAGGAATCTTTATTGCATTGTCCCCAACCCAACAATAAGGGGTGCGGAGGTATTCCTTGGTGAAGATAAAGCCTGCTTTCCAGCACCTAGGAGTCCACGAGCATGCCCTACAATCCACCCTCAAAGCTCATGGAGGAAAGGCCACAGTTTCTTGGCAGGAGGCAAGCGATCGGTCTCAAAACAGAAGCAGGGAGGAAAGCAGCTTTCCAAAGTCTGCAGTAAAGCCAGGAAGAACAGAGGAAACCTTGACTTCCAGTTTCCAGTCTTCAAGCAGAGTATCCTTACAGAGGCAGTTGCCTGGATTACTCATTTCCAACAATACCTACAGGGCAGGAGACTTCATGTCCCCAACCCCAACAGATCCTAGAAATCATTTAGGGTTAAAGTTAATGCTAGGTTTAGGCTACATTTTGTGTTTGTAGGATCAAAAGAATTAATGGTGCACCAGACCCGACTTCAGGAGCCATAGTAATTAGCTTGCTAGACAGGCTCGTGTAGTGCTATTTAAAACCACTGCAAGAAAGCTTGCAGAAAAAGATTTTTTTTTTTTTTGCGATTTCTTAGATGGTCTAACAAGAGCGACCATTTCTGAACTAAGAGCTTTAGAGTTTTGCATTTCTTATTTAAAACCATTTACCTTTCTACTCACAATGATAGCAGGGTACTTTCATAGGAAACACCATCTTCAGTGCTCCATGCTTCTCTTGTCATTTTAATATTTCATTTACAAAGGAGGACGAGAAGCTGCAAGGACTGAGTAATAAAGTGACAGGCATCTGCCACCCTGTTCTGGAAATCTGAGCCTGGGGAAAACCCGGCTGTAACATCCACAGCCCTAAGATTTCATTTTGCATTAGCTGAAAATGCTTTCTGCTAATGGATGTTTTCTAAAAATTAATATTTAAGCCATCAAAACCCTGCAAGCTGCCAATGCTGGTTTGGCACCAACAGATGCTATCTTTCAAGCCAACAGAAGGGTTCTCTCTGATCTTCGCCACAATGAAGATGAACCGAGAAGAAAGCGAGGTAAAGAGAAGCACATGAAGTCAAGAGTCCCAAGAGACAAGCTACAAAAATAATAAAAAAATAAAAAATAAAATTAATGGAGGCAAGTAGAAATACCAAACTGTTTGTGTTTTAGATCCCAAACCAATGTTTTGATTGACACGGTGTTAGGAAAAACTGACACTCCAACTGTGGTGACAGTCAGAAGTATGTACATAAAATACTGCACTGTAAATCCCTATTACATCTCTACTGCAATCCTGTGGGAGCGTGCACATTCGGGACCCACAGCTCAACCCTTATTCTTCGTTGCGTCAAGTAGCAGCTGCTCAAGACTTCATGCATTAAGCCAGGGTGATGTTAACTCCTCAAAGAGGAGCAAAATACCATTGCACTCCTTGGGTGCATCTCCATACGTGGGAACGTGCATTTCCCCGGGGACAAGGAGCGGCAGCAGCACATCTTGTACCGCTGCTACCTGTCCCCGGGGAACGCGTGTTCCACGCGCGCTCTGGCAGCACGTCGTGCGTTCTGGTGGCACGTTGCCTCGGGTGGGGTAGGGGAGGCTGGGGCCAGCAACTGTGATGATCCCAGCAGCTTTACCTGGAGTCCAGGAGCTGCAGCTTGGAGTCTGGCTCTGGTCAGCCAGGCTCCAGTTTTGGGCAACGCACGCTGCAGCCACGGGTGCTGTTCTGCTTTTAGGCGTGTTTTTTTTTTAATCCCAGGATCTCCCAGGGTAAAAAAACCCCAACACCTCCACGCTGCAAAGTAGCAGCACGGGGCAACGTCTGCATGTGCAACCTACACCCCTGCAGACCGCACATCTGCACTCGTCTGGACACACTCCTTAAGGGTAAATAAATGTGTTAAGACAAATGGCACACTGGAGGACCTGTCTACCTAGAGGGTAGTGATGCGCTGACACAGGCGAGGGTCAAGGCAGTGGAAAGAGAGGAACTATATAAATAAAGCATTAATGATGGGCAGAACACAAGTACCAGCCTGTCAATGGCAACATGAGGGAGGCTTAAAAAACTTGCACAGCTGAAGCCACGCAGCAAGCTACTATACTGCCATGGTCCACTTGAGTTTCACAGGCCTTCTCAACTAATGAGGAGCATGGAAGGATGCAGAGGACTTCTTTAGGACTGCTCTGGTGTTAGCAAAATGCAGACTGCCTGTTCAGAACAGGCAACCCTGAGCCAGAGGCTAGGTATTTGAATCAGCAAAACATCAGCCCCCCACACCCTTCCTCACTGATCCTGCAGCTGCAGCAGTAGCTGTTCTTTAAAATGCTATCAAAGTGCTGCGAGCATTTCTAATTCCTGCGCC